TTGTATAATTATTTGAAGTACTCCGTATAATGTAACAGCAGCATCTTATGACTTTATAATAATGGCAGAGTGAGGTATTTTAAATTTAAACAAAAGGATTTGACCCGCACTTTGCTTGTTTTATTCATCAACTTCTTTGCACCTTTTCCAGTTTCATCACTCAGTACTCACCCACCCTTTGCCTTATTATACTTGTTTTTTTTTTTTCTTTTTATTAATTTTAATTTTGAAGCTGTTATATATTTGGAGCTTTCCTTCACTTCACAATACTCTCATAACTAATAATATTAAGGGCAAAGCCTAACTTCAGAAACTCACCTCTTAACCTTATTAACCCAAAAAGGTTATTGTGGTAGTTTCTGTTTGGTGGCACTTGCTCTATTCATTCATTCTCTAATCACTACATTAATATACCCTTAAATCAGCTGCTTAATATAATTTCTGTTCTTGGTTTCCTCTTCATATTCAAGATTTCTTCTGCTAATATTTTGTATTTTTTTTTTTTGGGCATTACATTCAAGATTTGAGTGAAAAGGAAGGGGGGTCTCAGTTTACTTAAATTGCAAATCTTGGAAAATCATGTAAATTATTACAGGCATTTGAATCAGTTGACTATTGTTAACTTTGTTATTTGGAGTATATTTTGGATCCACTTTGTATGCTCTAATTGCAAAAGGAAAAAAGGTTAGATCTTGAACAAAAATGGAGGAGACATTTATACCATTCCAAGGAATCAAAAAATGATCTTAAAGGAAGATTGTTGTGTTACAAGCAGGACTGGACTAGTGGATTCAAAGCAGGATACAGGTATTTTTTTATATGCAGATTCTTCTGCTCATTACATTCTGTTTAATTTCAGTTTGTTTGACTCCTTTTTGTTTTTATTAAATAAATTCAGGATATTAGCTCCTACCACATATATTTTCTTTGCTTCTGCAATTCCAGTCATTTCCTTTGGGGAGCAGCTTGATAGAGAAACAGGTATTCATTCTTCTTAAATTTACTAAACTGTAAAAATAATTAAATAAATAAATTCAGGTTGACTATTGAATGAGAGAATTCATAAAATTAAAATATGAATTGTAGATGGAGTTCTAACAGCTGTGCAAACATTAGTATCAACTGCACTTTGTGGCATTATTCACTCTATTATTGGTGGTCAACCATTGCTGATCCTAGGAGTTGCAGAACCAACAGTAATTATGTACCAATTCATGTTTAAGTTTGCTAAAGACCGCCCCGAATTGGGTCGGAATCTCTTCTTAGCTTGGGCTGGATGGTGAGCTTCTAACTCCTGAATAATTGATTATGTAGTTAGGAGTAATTGTACGTTTTGAATGACTGTCAATTATGTTACAGGGTCTGTGTGTGGACATCGCTCTTGTTGTTCTCTATGGCTATCTTAGGGGCTTGCTCCATCATCAATCGGTTCACCCGTTTGGCCGGCGAATTGTTTGGCCTTCTCATAGCCATGCTCTTCATGCAGCAAGCCATTAAGGTCACTAATTTTGCATATACTACTGCTTTTTCTGTTATACTGCTTTACACTTTATTGATTTATAACTTAACTTTTGTGGTCCAAAACTTCCACTTCAATGGGCCTATAATCACATATGGAAATACAATTTAAGTTTTTTTAATTTCTTTCTATTAATTGTATACAAACACCAACCTCCTTACATATTTAATCTTGCTATATGCTAAGGTGGGGTTTGGAGATGTTCAGATTATTTGTGAAAATTCTGTCTACCACTTTTTACTGATAGTTAAGTTTGTGGTGAACGCTTTTTAATGGTTTAGGGACTAGTGGATGAGTTCTACATACCTAGGAGGGAAGATCCGAATGCAACTCAGTTCCTTCCTTCATGGAGATTTGCAAATGGAATGTTTGCTTTGGTCCTGTCTTTTGGACTTATAATCACTGCACTACGAAGCAGAAAGGCAAGATCATGGCGCTATGGGTCAGGTAAAACCATGGTATTCTCAGCTTGAATATGTTAAATCAGATAACCATGTGTTGTCTTTCATTGATGTTTTAAAGTGGAGCATGATACCAAATCTTTCAAAAGTTAATGGTTCTAGTGTTCTACTCCCTTCTATCTACCAGGTTGGCTCCGAAGTTTGATAGCAGACTATGGTGTCCCGCTTATGGTTCTAGTATGGACAGCTACTTCCTACATACCATCCAAAAGTGTTCCACAAGGGATACCAAGACGCCTCTTCAGCCCAAACCCATGGTCTCCTGGCGCGTATGAGAATTGGACTGTTATCAAGGTAAGTGCAAATATAGATTTCTTGTTTCATAATTCTAGTAAGATCCGGACTACAATATTATTGGATTTAAACCCTAAGTTACTAGTGCTTGGTGTAACAGGATATGCTTGATGTTCCTGTTTTATACATATTCGGAGCTATTGTCCCAGCAACAATGATTGCAGTGCTCTATTATTTTGATCACAGTGTGGCATCTCAACTTGCTCAGCAGAAAGAGTTTAATTTGAGGAAACCCCCTTCCTTCCACTACGATTTGCTCCTTTTGGGATTCATGGTAACTACTTGACAACACTTTTGGCTTCTTTTAGCTCCTCTACAGTATTTCTCTTCTAATTCAAGTATTAAGCTATGACTTCCCTCTTTCCTTGCAGACATTGTTATGTGGTCTTATTGGAATTCCTCCAGCAAATGGTGTCATCCCTCAGTCTCCTATGCATACAAAAAGTCTAGCTACCCTTAAGCACCAGCTACTTCGTAACAGAATTGTTCAAGCTGCGAAAAGAAGCATAGGGATGAATGCAAGTTTAGGGCAGCTGTATGGCAATATGCAAGAAGCTTACCAACAGATGCAGACCCCTCTCATCTATCAGCAGCCTTCAGCTCAAGTTCAAGTATAACTTCTAAGCTCTTTACCTAGTTATTTGCATTTAGTTCAAGATAACATGAAGCTTAATTGAGTGAATTTCATTCTTTGATCAGGGTCTGAAGGAATTAAAAGATTCAACTATTCAAGCAGCAGCAAGCATGGGAAATATCGATGCTCCTGTGGATGAGAGTGTGTTCGATGTTGAGAAGGAAATAGATGAGTTGTTACCTGTTGAGGTTAAAGAGCAGCGTGTCAGTAACCTGTTACAATCCATTATGGTTGGTGGATGTGTTGCAGCCATGCCTGTACTTAAAATGATCCCAACCTCGGTACTTTGGGGCTACTTTGCTTTCATGGCCATTGAAAGCTTACCAGGCAACCAGTTCTGGGAAAGGATTCTGCTGCTCTTCACAGCACCAAGCAGAAGATACAAGTAAGTTACTTTGCTTCTCAATTCCTTTTCCCTTCCAGTATAAAGACTGGTTAACTAATTCTTGTCCCTAATTATATGTCCTAAATGCAGGGTTCTTGAAGATTATCATGCAACTTTTGTGGAAACAGTTCCTTTCAAGTCTATTGCCCTTTTCACCATTTTCCAAACATTATATTTGCTCGTCTGCTTTGGAATTACATGGATCCCAATTGCAGGGGTTTTGTTTCCTCTTATGATTATGCTTTTGGTTCCTGTGAGACAATACATTCTTCCTAAGTTTTTCAAAGGAGTACACCTTCAAGATTTGGATGCCGCGGAATTTGAGGAGTCACCAGCTCTGGCATTCGATCTTACAACGGTATAATCACTCAAAACACTCCTTTTTAAAATAATCATACTCAATTATATTGTTTATAATATATAGCATTAGTTGATGTATATTCTAAATATTAGTATATAAATTCTGATGCTGATATTGATTGCTGAAACAGGAACATGAATTGGCCTCAGGGGCTACACTTGCTGGAGATGGTGAGATATTGGACGAAATGGTGACTAGAAGCCGAGGTGAGGTCAGGCATATATGCAATCCAAAGGTAACAAGCTCAACAACAACACCGTCAAGAGAGGTGAGAGGCATTCAGAGCCCTCATCTTTCATCATACAGTCCTCGATTACACATAAGTCCGCGATCTGGTAGGAACGTACCTTTTAGTCCAAGGTCTGCAGAAACTCAACCCTCAAAACTAGGAAAGAGTCCTGGACCTTCAACAGAATCAACTTCAAAGTAACAGCTTCAAGTTTTGTATTTGTAATTTATTGTTAACTTCAGCTCTTTGTATGGAAGTGTTAGGTCTGCCTGTTGCAATAGTGGTGTTTGTATTAATCAAATCAAAGTGTATAATTTTGGTGGCGCTGCTTTCATAAAGCTTGCAGCTTTTTCTCCACATGATAATTCCAGCAAATACTGGGAATATTATAGTAATTCTTGACCTGTATAATAATATCAATATGAATGTCTGATCAAAATCTAAAGACTTGATTCTATTGAGCAAAGCTTCATATTGAACTCTAAATCTTCTGAGTGTGCAGCCCCACCCCCTCAGAAAGGAAAACCTCAGTTATCAATAAGCAACTCGATTATGAAGATGCTGATTACATCAGAACGGAGTGTTGGCCTCTCTATAAATTGCCTTGTTATTTTATTCTTCTCAATTAAGAAAAAGTAAATAAGAATATATTCCAACAGAAGTTATTGAGGGATTTGGATCGGATTTGACTTTCATTGCTTGTCGTACGGGGTATGTTCCCTCATATTATGGGCATTCCATTTAAATAAGGAGAATAAACTAGAGACTAGAATCAATCCCAGTGACTTAAAACTCCATCGATACGTTACAACAACTAAGCTACATATATAACGTGTTCATAATCGTTACTAAGCCCAACTAAGTATTATATATATTTGTCCTGGAAGAAATTAAAGAAAGAATGATAGAAAGAGAAGTAACCCAGGGCATGGCCACCAACAAGCTTTATCTTTTAAACGACGTGCGCGATCTGAGTGTGAGCTAGCTACCAACGTCAATCTATCATCTATGAGCTAGTCTGAACAAAACAAAGCAATTGGTTTCTCTTTTTTTGGTATTCATTGCAGCTTATTTTGGCTATTTGCTTTCATCCACTATCCACTCTCCCTCATTCCAAATGACACTATCATATGAAATCCAAGCATGATATATTACTCATTTAACACAACTGTATCAAAATTTCCGAGTACTCCAGGCTAGTTAATGTGATGGCTGATGAGTGACAAAGTATCTGAACACTAAAAACAGTAAAGTGTGACAATTATTACTGGATGAAGGGGGGAAATCCAAACTTCTTCTCAGACAATCTGAACTTGGGTCTTGAATAATGTAGAGGATGAAGGGGAAGCTAAATTATGAAAAGTTTTGATACCAAAGTTTGTATAATAGCAGATGATATGATAGTGAAGTTTTTTCATGTCAGTAATTGTCCAACCTAGGTTTAGTTTTCTATTTTCATTTTCTCAATGATAATATGATATGGGTTCAAATAGTCCAAGAGCAAAGCCACCAGAAAGATTACTGTATGGTAACTCTCAACTGAAAAATGAAGTGTCATGACACAAGGAAAGGCATTCACGTAAAGAGGTAATTCGGATACTCAATATCCAGCCTTTGATTGACGTTATTTTTCGGATACTCAATATCCAGCCTTTGATTGACGTTATTTTGCTCCTACTTACAGAAAAAGGTTGTATACATCATACTTGAGTCATTTTTTTCACCTTAAAAGGTTCTTGTTTAAGGAAAACTAAAATTGCAGATTATGATTAATTAAGTTAGATAAAATAACATTAAGTTCAGTCATGGATCAGTTCGAAACAAAAACTAATACATACATAATGCACTTCCATGTATAAGAAAGATGAGTTAAGATGGAACCTTACCATCTTTCTACACATGATCTGTCTCTGCTCTAGATTCTCCTTGAATTATGTTAAGGATAAATTGAAATACACTTCATAATTGAGTATGTTTGTATATTCTACTTTTAGCATACGGCGAGGACGATCATAGCAGGTAAGAAGGGAATCAATTATACCAAACCAAAATAATGCAGATGAGGACAAGCTTGAAAGTTGAAAGTGATAACTCTCTTAAAGGCTAAAACATCCCACAAGTTTTGTTGGATTCATTGGTGGTAGTCCATTAGTAGTCTGATTCCATCATTGAGTTTACTAATCATAATCATAAGACCATTAAAATGTGACAACAGCAAGTTAGTAATAAAGTATGCAAAATTTTCTAATGCAGAAAGTGTGTATAATGCATTTATTATGAATGATGGCCTAAATTTTGTGTCCTTTATTATCAGTATGATTGCCTCAGCCTTGTGGGGCTTCCCTTCTTTTGATTCTCTCTTTTGCAATTACTTTGATAAGTCACCTTAAACAAATTAATCTCTATTTGTTAAATCTAATCATTAGTTTACTACTTTTTTGATATTCTAGTGTCTCAGTCTGGCTGTCAGAATTATTTGGCTATCTGCTTGTGCTAGGTTCTTGTAATTTTCTTCCCTCCGCATTCAGAAGAACAAAAGAACCTTCCTATTATTAGAAAAAGGATTGTAGATTCTGTGATTATACAATTACTAGGTTGTTTGTAAGCTATGAAGCTCTCTGAAAAGATTGTTTGATGTCAATTTTTCTAACATACTTAAACCATAAGTTGCGGGGATAGCTCAGTTGGGACTTGGGAGAGCGTCAGACTGAAGATCTGAAGGTCGCGTGTTCGATCCACGCTAACCGCATTTTCTATCTACCTTTTTATTCTAATCCGTTGTTAGGTTTAATTATTGTTCTATTACTTTTTGTATGAGATTCCAATGTCTGTCTATCAGCATTATTTGGATTTTGCTGGTTTTTGGAGGTTTGCTCATTCTGTATTCAGGAATGTTGAAGGACCATTGAATTATTTTATTTTTTTTTTGTGTTAAAGGCCTTTCCATATAATAAAATAGATACAGTAAGTGTTGATCCTTTGATTCTCCTTCACGAACTTGTTTGCAAGCTACGTAGCTTTCAAAATTATGTCTTTTGTCAAGTATTTAACACATTGTAACCTCAATAGCTCAGTTGGGAGAGCGTCAGACTGAAGATCTGAAGGTCGCGTGTTCGATCCACGCTCACCGCACTCTAGTTACTCTTTTTTGCTCTTCACTGAGACAATGACTACATATTGATCTTTCCGACTAATTTACCCTTCAATTGTTTTCCTATTTTAAATGCAATCTACAAATTTGAGATCTGCTTACAAAGTCAAGGTTTGATGTAGAGGAGTTATCCTAAACATCTCACTTTCAAGTTTACTGCATCCATGTGGCTGTTTACATCTAATGCATTATTTTATAATTCATACTAGACTTTCAAAGTTGTGCGTATGTAAGGAACCGATTTTAATATTTGTTTAATTTTTATCTCAGCTTATTTTGAGGATCAAGGAGAAGATAAACTATCTTTAATTGAGCCAAAATTTAAATACAATTACTAATGGTTGTATTTTCAATTTGTAATGTTTCTCTATTGCTTTTCGAGATAAAAATTATGTCCTCTTGCCAAATTGCTGTATTTTGGAAAATAAAATAAAAATTGACCAAGAAAAGAAATAAAAAGAGAGGATTAAAGATGCTAAGCCTGAGAATAAGTGACTCGCTGGAATAATGATGGAGATTCGGATGATGAGTGCAATGTGGTGTTGGATGAGCATACTGCTGCTGCTGCTGTTACTAACACTCTCAAATGGTGTAGAAGGTACTGGACGTCTGAAGAGGCCCCTTGTTGTTAATTTTGGAGACTCGAATTCAGATACTGGAGGGGTGCTAGCTGGTACTGGACTTCCCATTGGCCTGCCGAATGGTATTACATTCTTCCACAGGGGCACAGGCCGATTAGGCGATGGTCGTCTTATAATTGACTTCTTCTGTGAGTAAACTTTATACCATCGTTGGGAGTGTTATTTTTCTATGTTTGAAAAAATCTAATTCATTGTCTGGCAGGTGAGCACCTGAAGTTGAACTACCTGAGCCCATACTTGGATTCACTGTCACCAAATTTTACCAGCGGTGTTAACTTTGCTGTCTCGGGTGCAACCCTGCTGCCAAAGTTTGTTCCTTTTGCTTTGAGTGTCCAAGTTCGTCAGTTCATTCACTTCAAAAATCGATCACTTGAGCTCCTTTCACTTGGTAAATTAGTAGTATTAACTTACATAACAAGTCCATAATTCTTGAATGAAGCCTATTATATGTATATGGTCTAGAAACTGATGACTTACATTATATGCAGGATCCAGGGACTTGATCGACGAAGAAGGGTTCCGCAGAGCACTTTATACGATTGACATTGGACAAAATGATCTTCTATTGGCCCTTTATGCATCAAATATAACATATGATCCTGTTGCTCAAAAAATCCCATCCTTTCTTGAAGAAATTAGGTTGGCTGTGCAGGTAAGCTCTCAACTTGTGCATTTAGATTCTGGACTACATTCAGGTTCATTGTTAGGTGATTGCTAAAATAATTACAGACAGTACCAATATGGTGGGAGAAAATTTTGGATCCATAACACAGGGCCCTTAGGCTGTCAACCCAAAGAACTTGCCCTGCATCCCCACAAAAGCAGTGACCTTGATCGCGTGGGATGTCTTCGTGTACATAACCGAGTTGCAAAAACCTTCAATAAGGGGCTCCGCACACTGTCTGAGGATCTAAGATCGGTGTACAAGGATGCTGTCATTGTTTATGTTGATGTATATTCTGTCAAATACAGTCTCTCTGCCAACCCTGAAAAATATGGTAATAACTTTCTGAGCTCTCTTAAAGCTTATGTTTATTATTACTGGTAACAAAATAAATAAAATAAAGAAGCCCTCTTTATATATTATTATGACTATTTAGGGGTAAGGTTGTGCCCCAGCGAGATTAATTTTGAGTTATTGCTGTTGTTTAATCATTCTTGTTTATTTCTCAATTAAATTTAAGTTAAAAATGTGGTGTATTGTTCTAGGATTCAAAAACCCATTTGCAGCTTGCTGTGGTCATGGGGCTCCATACTTCTACGACAGAAACGCAACATGTGGGCAGCCAGGTTACAGCATATGCAGCAATGTATCACAGTCCATAGTTTGGGATGGAGTTCATTATACTGAAGCTGCTAATTGTGTAGTAGCTGCAAGAATACAGTCAGGAGTTTATTCTAGCCCGAAAAGTAAGCTTGAGCAATTCTGGAACTAACCCCTGATTTGCACTAATATAGGCTATTACTAGAGTGAGTACATTGAATGTTTGCTTAATCATTTCTTGAAGTGGGATTGAGCAGGAAATTTAAAGAAAAACTTTGTAGTTTGGAATGTTTGCTTCATTCTTTCTGTTTCGGATGAAAACAATGGGGCCTTGCCGAAGGCCCGCTGAAGTGGCTGAAGACTGGTCCGGTCCAATTGATGCTGGGCCGAAGGTTTCCTGCACAACTAAAACACGTAAACTGGCCTCGGGGGTGGATCCGAGGAAGACCCCTCCGATGCCGAAGTCAAACAGTGTTTAGAGAGAGAAAGATATGCAAGAGATTTAATGCTTGAGGCTTTGTTGTGTTGTAATGTATAAATGAATGAATTGAAGGCTTTTATACCTTTGCACATGATGAGGGGAGAGCAATTGGGCCTTTAAATAGTCATGGGCTGACCATGGCAATTCGGACCAAAAGACTCTTGGTTGACTTGGCTTAATTGGAGGCTCGGGCCTTGACCTTGGAATATGAAGTCATTTAGTGATCAGGCCCAATAAGATAATTGGACCCAAATACATGACTAGGCCCAATTAGATAAATTGGACCCAAACACTTTCTTTGACCCAATCAAGGTTGAAAGACCAGAATTTGCATAGTAATAATACTTGCTTCCTGGCTGTGAATTACTTCACAGGAATAACTTTCGTTGTAGCTTAGATAAATAGTCAAAAATCCTGCAGGGGAAATAAGAACCAGAAATCAGGAACAGACTAGTGGAACCCAATTGATCGCAACATGTGACGTTTCATTTACGCTTTAATCTGTCAATGATTAAGGTTCAATCAGAGGTTTATAAACCATGTAAAAACATTAGATGGAAGAGTTATGGACGAAAGAAATTAGGAATACAATAGGATGTGTGGACCATGGGAGAGGAAGAAGATCAACCATTAAATTTTCTTTTTGTTGCTGTTGATGAAGCCCTTAATCTAAAGCAAAGCCACCAGACAAAATCATTGCATGACAATTATTAATAATGGAGGAATTTTAAGCATAAAAAGTATCGAGTTTTTGAAGGAGAACACATAATTCAATAGAGGCGATTAAGGTAACAGTATGAGTAATTAAAAACCAAATTGAAGCTAGCTACCTACTAATAAAAGAAGTGAAGTTGACATGCATACATAAATAAAGATTGAAAAGCTTGGAAAGAAAGAACACTAAGAAATAAGAATGTGAGTATGAACTATTACATCAGCAATCTTATCAGTCCCACAGTCTCCACTATTAAGAGGGAATCCTATAATTAAAGACTGTCTTATCATTAGTTCACTTCCAATTATCAGATACCAAGTGAGCCCTTGCATTTGAATATATAGCTCAAAAAAACCACAATTTAAGTCTTATGTATGTATAATGTATTGGTATATGTCAACCTATGTTGGTTTATTGTACTCCTTGGTATATTGGTAGCTATGTTGGACGGAAATACGGAAGGATGAGGATTATCAAAAGTTCGTTAGTACTACAACGTATTACTATAGTACTTTACTAATCTTTATTAGTGTGTGCATCATTTTACATGTTATATTTCAACAACTAAGATGTATCTTCTTAGAAATATGAATTTTGGTTTGTTTTTTAACCAAATCATTACTTCCTCTCATCTTTATTTCTTCTCTCTTTATATGTTTATATTCTCTCTTCTCATGACTAACCTCGTTAATCATATGTTTTTTTTTTAAAAAAAAAAAACCTCGTTAATCATATGTTTTTTTTAAAAAAAAAAACCTCGTTAATCATATTCTTACATTCTCATATCTCATTTTCAATATTATCAGACCCCATTCTTTAATCAATCTATTACTTGTACTTAGTTATGAAATATGTGATATAGAGTACTAATCATACTATAGAATATAATATACAAGTAACAATTTTTGCTTTTTTTTTACACTATACAAGTAATAATTTTGGACTCCCCTATTACTAAATGCACTTATGCAACCCAAAAATGAAAATGAAAATTAAAAACCAAAAAAAAAAAAAAAAAAAAAAAAAAAAAAAAAGAGGAAGAAGAAGAAAATTTGGGCTTTGGGCTAATTAAAAGAAGAAGTTGGTAAGAATGGTAAGCATCCAAAATCCGAAAATTCTAAGAACCCAATTAAAAAAAACCCTAGTCCAGAAAGAGCAGTTATAAAAGCATCATCTTGAAAACCCTAATTTTAGTTCTCTGCCGTTCCACACGTTTGACCTCCAATTCCATTCCTGAGTGAGGAGAGAGATGACGACTCGATTGAAGAAGAACAGGAAGAAGAGAGGACACGTGTCAGCAGGACACGGTCGTATCGGAAAGCACAGAAAGCATCCAGGTGGACGTGGTAATGCCGGAGGTATGCACCACCACAGAATCCTGTTCGACAAGTACCATCCCGGTTACTTCGGCAAAGTCGGTATGCGTTACTTCCACAAACTCAGGAACAGGTTCCACTGCCCCATCGTCAACATCGACAAGCTTTGGTCAATGCTTCCTGAAGATGTCAAGGAGAAGGCTTCCAAGGAAGGCAAGGCTCCTGTCATTGATGTTACCCAGTTTGGTTACTTTAAGGTTCTTGGTAAGGGTGTTTTGCCTGATTCTCAGCCTATTGTTGTTAAGGCTAAGTTGATTTCTAAGATTGCTGAGAAGAAGATTAAGGAGAATGGCGGCGCTGTTCTTCTTACTGCTTAGCTTCTTTTTATCTTTTGTTTATGCAATTTTGTCATAGGAATGTTATCCAGGGTTTTAAATTTAGATCTGGAATTTGAGGACTCTTTTTGTTCTTGTTTCATATTCATTTAATGATATGAGCTATTATTTGACCATTTTTGTGATCATTACATGCTATGCTATGAAATTATTATTGTTTTTTTTATAGTGTTGATTGTGTATGAGTAATTTAGAACTGGTCGAAGGGTCTGTTAGGTTTGCCTTTTATGAAATTTGCAGTAATTCAATAAGTTGAAATGACAGGAAAAATAGGAACTTATTGTATTAATATTAATGGTTTCATATCCTTTTGATTTGTAAGGTTCATACTTGAGCTTCTCTGAGAATATTTGTTATTGATCTGAATAGACAGACTATAGGAGAGCTTAGGGGGGCTATGAATTCATGGTCAGTAAAATTGTCGTGGATATTGGATTGCATTGAGGGGCTACTCTGTTACTTTAGGAGACCTGAAGTAGTTTATTTTAATCTTGTGTTAAATTTCTCAAATGATCTGAAGCTGAACAGAGGCTGCATTTGGAGGGTTTTCCCCTTTTCTGCTTTTCTGTGTTTTGTGTTTTTGTGTGGTATAAGATGGCTGCTGCAAAGTATTGCGCATGTATGATATATTAGTGTTAAGGATAGTATTGATAAACACAGGTCCTGTTCTGAAATTAGACAATGTAAAAGTGAATGTACCCCTGTTCGTAATTAGTCCTAGTTTTTGGGATGCCTAGAATTAGTCTTAGATAATAAAATACGTTATACAGAGATCACCTGCTCATCCTAAGAAAATGGTGGAGCGGGTTGCAACACTTGCAAGCTACCGGTAGCTGTCTCTTAGAATTGCACCTAAGGGATTAGAACAGTGTAGCATTACATTCAGTTTCTTTACGTTTTGATGTCGTTTGGAATAGAAACAGAATGTGAGGCGGCGAGGGTTGTGGAAATGTGGACAAATAAGATATTTGGCTCCATTGGAGAAGAAATATGGAAATAATGGGGGTGATGAGAGAGATCAGAATACTACTGTCAACTTATTTTTCTTGTTTGTTCTTATCCATGGATGATGATGCTCTCGACTCTTAAAGCCTCAACTTCAAATCAATGCTACTAAATTTGATTGAATTTAACTACTACCTCCGTTAACTATTATTTGCAACAAAGGGATAAATTCACATGTCTTGATTTTGGAAGAAACTGAATATTAGCACTTTCATATGATTTCATGAAAATGGATAAAAGTTCAATTTGAAGACTCAGTTGTGGTGAAAATGCAAAACTTCTTGTTACAAATAAGCTTGGAATCCTATAATCAATTGAGTTTGGTACTCCCCTAGTAATATGTTCTCCCTATTATGAATAATTTAGTCTCACGGTAAGATTATAAATAGAAAGAACAATATGAAATGGACAGAGGACTAGTGAACTAATCACCTAAAGGCAACCTTATTATAGTAACATTTGGGAAAGAAAGTTATCCAAGGATGTCATGTTCTGGGGAATGAATATTGTTTGAGTATGAACTTCTAAATGAACTGTCTTACTCTTATGAATCTTATCAAAAACTATAACTTTTTAGTACTATCATTGTTAAATACTACGGAGTACCAAAGCTTCATTTCATTAGGGTTTGAGTAGCCATGAACACTCCTAAATGGCCAATTGGAGTGAGTTTTTAAGTGAAGTTCTAACTTTAGTTTAGTCAAAAATTAAAAAAGTTCTAACTTTAGTACTACTTTGTATTATATTATGAGTATAGGCCGCTCTACAACCAAGTTTAGTTTCGCCTTTATAATTAAATAAAGGCGATATTAAATATTCGACTAAAGTCCCAAGATAGGTTGAAATTTGGTGATGCTTAAGTAATGCATTTTCCTGAAAAATGGGCAATCAAATAATCTAAGCTAACTTAATCAATAATATAATTTCCATTCATTAACTAACAGACTGTCTGGTTGACTTGTGATTGCCTCCCTGTGGGTCAGTCCTTAGTAATTGCTCTTGGGAGATGCATATTCATCAGACAGACAGATTCAATGTTTTAAGCTTTGGACTATCAGAAATTTGAATTGCTGGATTTTCTCTAGTTATATGATTGTTACATGCTAAATTTCTTTCAGACAATGTTAAGTGACCAAACTATTGAATTATATTGTTTGATCGCGATCGAGAGCACTGTCAGCCAGAAATCAAAGCTTATTTTGTCTGTAGTTCGAGCACTTGCAATCGAAAGAAGAAATAAAAAAAAAACATATAGTACGAGGATCTCTTTCTTATTTTGTAGTATTGCATCTTTATTTGTTTTGGTTTCTGCATGATTTAAGTATATATGATTTGGTTGGTTTGCATGTATTATGTATAATACTAATTTATGTAGCCTTAGCTTGTAGGAATAGTATCTTAGTTGGACGAGCATGATCTGCAGTTGGTAGGCAAATAAACTAGTCATTCTTTTCACCTTTTTTTTCAAATACACGAGCAATACAAAAATTTCTCCACTCAACTCTTTCTTTAATAAAGCACATTTAACAGACAATGCCGGAAAGAGAAAAGAATAGGTGCTCTAAATTCAGCTGGAATATTCTAGGATTTGAGTTTTGACAACCAAAAGTTTCCAGATATTCAACTACACCCCTTTGAGCTTCTTGTTTTTCTGTACTGTGGAATTGTGGTGTTGGTCATGTTAATGTGGTTTAGAATTGATTTCAGCCAAGATTTTATACTGTTAAAGTGTTAACGACATCAACTTGTGCTGTGTTATATCCCTGGACCTTCTTCATGCAAGGGTAATTTGTGGCTTTTTGCAGTACTTAGTTGCCTTTGTATACATTACTATTACCCTGCTTGATGTTCCAATTAAGTATCAATGAATGGCGCAATGTAAGTCATGGTAGTGGTAGGTTTCTATCTGTGTTATTGTCCTTTGATTGACCTGGTGCAAACAAGTTCAATAAAAAAAAAAAAAAGGATAATATGCTCCATTTCAAGTTGCTAATTTGATCACTGTCAAAAAAAAAAGTTATTAATTTGATACAACTTGTAGCAAATTTGACCTGTTAAAACATACAAGTATGTAGTTATGTAACCACAAAGGCTAGTAGAGTAGATGAAACTGTTCTCGAATTCTGAGTATGTATAATAATTTCTAAACTTTGCCAACAATTGATTGATATCCTTGTACGTCGTACTAAACTAATACTTCCTCCGTTTTCTTTTAGATGCAACACACACTTTTTCAAGGTATTTAAGAAATGTGGGATTCACATGATATAATACACTTTATAATGGGATGAGTGGTTGTTAGGAGTGTAATTTAGTGGGCTATGTGCTTTAAATAAGGGAAATAGTATAGTTTTTCCCTAAAGTAACTTTCCTTTTATAGTGTGTTGCAAGTATTGTGACATTTCCTTTTTAGGGAAGTGTTGCAAGTAAAAGAAAACGGAGGAAGTACTATTCCTTAAATATATAAATATAGTCATTCCTTTTTATTAAGACTTTTATTGAATAAATCGGTATGCTTAGATAATTTATTAAAAACCACTTATAGAGACGACTTAAATAGAAATAATACAAAATAGCTTAAAGGATGAGGATATGTTGTAATAATTCTCCATTGGTAATTTTTGTTTTTTATTTTTCCACTAGGCTATAAATTCGTAGCCCCATAGGCTGGTTGGCATTACAATAATGCAATGTATATTTGTATGTAAAAGAAAAGAAGGATAAAAAGAAAAGTCGTAGGGTGATAAAAGTTGATGCAGTGAACCAGTGAGCAGTAGCCAAGCAGGATAACATAAAAATGTATCTTTTTATCTTGACTGTAATAACTAATAAAGTAATGTGACAATGATATTGTCCCATATTGATAATATATTTATCACCCGACTTTTTTCATGGAAGCTAATTTGCCATGTAGAGTTGTAGGACAATAATTTATTTATTTCTCTGTACTTTGTTTGATTAATTGCCTGCAAGTCTAGAACTGTACATATGGCTATCTCTTTCTTTAAAAAAAAAATGTTAGAGGGGTTATATAGATCTATGCATGCAATCCTTCTGCTATCTCTTTTTCATAAATGTTGAATTAAGTTCTCAACGGAATAACATTCATACTGATTTACGAATATGGGAGGACAAATCTATTTTAGAAGCGTTTTGGATCAACATTTAAATTGGTTCAGGCATGTTGGACAATCATTAATGTGCAGTGTTTCGCAACTTCGAAAATACGGGCGGTACTTATTGTTTCCAGTTTCCGAGCATTAGAGTGCGGAGATAAGCAAGGCTAGAATTGCAGGACTATGTATTTTACGGGGTATACCGTACTACCAGTACTTAAAGTCAAGAGGAAATGCCTTATACTAGTATAAAAATTGTAGGTGTTAGGGAAGGTAGCAGCAACTACTGGTATAATTGTAAGATGCATCAAAAATAAGCTGTATTGAACTGGCAAGCTAAGGCCCATGTCATCAGAATCTTCCGTCTAGGAGCCTATAACTTTGTCCAACCATTTTCATTTATTTACGAGTGGTTTTTAAGTTAAGTGGTGGGTGATGCCTTTAATTTAAATATAACAAATTATAAGCAAGGTCAATATTATGGCAGATTTAGAGCCACATAAAAAATGAAAACTTGGGGGTGAATGTTGATGTTTAACAAAGTTAAATTATTCAACTTCTGAATTTTGTTTTAAAGTACTAACTACTATGTAGATTATGGAGTATGTAAGATCATATTGTTGCTGTATTTTGGCATATATATGTATATATATTACAAAAACTATACTGTAGTCAACATAAAACAAGATATTTCCAAAATTTTGGCGTCTGCTATCAATATCTTAAACTAGAAAATAAATTGTCGCACACCTAATTTTCTCCCATTTTCCGTTGATGTGTCAAATTTCTAATGGTATTGTATGTAGGGTCAACATACAATGGTTGTATGTGTATCAGCTCTCGTGAAATACTAAGGGGTCGTTTGGTTCATTAGGGAAGTGAAAATTCCCATGGAATTACAATTTGTAGGAATTAAATTCTTTTGTCAAAATCATGGGACATCATGAAATTTGTTTGGTTAAAAATGGAGGAAGTAAATTCCCATAGGAATTGTAACTTACCAAAGGGGGATTGGGTAAGTTAATTCCCATGTTTTGAGGGAAGTCAAAATTCCCATGAATTGGCATTGTCCCCATTTTTACTTTTTTGTGTCAACCAAACAAGAAGTCTAAAATGAAATTTATGAAAATTTTGAATGCCCACAAGATATTAAGCCAACCAAACAACACCTAATTCCAATGCATAAGCTCTATCTTATAATGTTTGCCTAACAAAAAAAAAAAAAAAAGATTACATGCATGTGTATTGTATAATTATTTGAAGTACTCCGTATAATGTAACAGCAGCATCTTATGACTTTATAATAATGGCAGAGTGAGGTATTTTAAATTTAAACAAAAGGATTTGACCCGCACTTTGCTTGTTTTATTCATCAACTTCTTTGCACCTTTTCCAGTTTCATCACTCAGTACTCACCCACCCTTTGCCTTATTATACTTGTTTTTTTTTTTTTCTTTTTATTAATTTTAATTTTGAAGCTGTTATATATTTGGAGCTTTCCTTCACTTCACAATACTCTCATAACTAATAATATTAAGGGCAAAGCCTAACTTCAGAAACTCACCTCTTAACCTTATTAACCCAAAAAGGTTATTGTGGTAGTTTCTGTTTGGTGGCACTTGCTCTATTCATTCATTCTCTAATCACTACATTAATATACCCTTAAATCAGCTGCTTAATATAATTTCTGTTCTTGGTTTCCTCTTCATATTCAAGATTTCTTCTGCTAATATTTTGTATTTTTTTTTTTTTGGGCATTACATTCAAGATTTGAGTGAAAAGGAAGGGGGGTCTCAGTTTACTTAAATTGCAAATCTTGGAAAATCATGTAAATTATTACAGGCATTTGAATCAGTTGACTATTGTTAACTTTGTTATTTGGAGTATATTTTGGATCCACTTTGTATGCTCTAATTGCAAAAGGAAAAAAGGTTAGATCTTGAACAAAAATGGAGGAGACATTTATACCATTCCAAGGAATCAAAAATGATCTTAAAGGAAGATTGTTGTGTTACAAGCAGGACTGGACTAGTGGATTCAAAGCAGGATACAGGTATTTTTTTATATGCAGATTCTTCTGCTCATTACATTCTGTTTAATTTCAGTTTGTTTGACTCCTTTTTGTTTTTATTAAATAAATTCAGGATATTAGCTCCTACCACATATATTTTCTTTGCTTCTGCAATTCCAGTCATTTCCTTTGGGGAGCAGCTTGATAGAGAAACAGGTATTCATTCTTCTTAAATTTACTAAACTGTAAAAATAATTAAATAAATAAATTCAGGTTGACTATTGAATGAGAGAATTCATAAAATTAAAATATGAATTGTAGATGGAGTTCTAACAGCTGTGCAAACATTAGTATCAACTGCACTTTGTGGCATTATTCACTCTATTATTGGTGGTCAACCATTGCTGATCCTAGGAGTTGCAGAACCAACAGTAATTATGTACCAATTCATGTTTAAGTTTGCTAAAGACCGCCCCGAATTGGGTCGGAATCTCTTCTTAGCTTGGGCTGGATGGTGAGCTTCTAACTCCTGAATAATTGATTATGTAGTTAGGAGTAATTGTACGTTTTGAATGACTGTCAATTATGTTACAGGGTCTGTGTGTGGACATCGCTCTTGTTGTTCTCTATGGCTATCTTAGGGGCTTGCTCCATCATCAATCGGTTCACCCGTTTGGCCGGCGAATTGTTTGGCCTTCTCATAGCCATGCTCTTCATGCAGCAAGCCATTAAGGTCACTAATTTTGCATATACTACTGCTTTTTCTGTTATACTGCTTTACACTTTATTGATTTATAACTTAACTTTTGTGGTCCAAAACTTCCACTTCAATGGGCCTATAATCACATATGGAAATACAATTTAAGTTTTTTAATTTCTTTCTATTAATTGTATACAAACACCAACCTCCTTACATATTTAATCTTGCTATATGCTAAGGTGGGGTTTGGAGATGTTCAGATTATTTGTGAAAATTCTGTCTACCACTTTTTACTGATAGTTAAGTTTGTGGTGAACGCTTTTTAATGGTTTAGGGACTAGTGGATGAGTTCTACATACCTAGGAGGGAAGATCCGAATGCAACTCAGTTCCTTCCTTCATGGAGATTTGCAAATGGAATGTTTGCTTTGGTCCTGTCTTTTGGACTTATAATCACTGCACTACGAAGCAGAAAGGCAAGATCATGGCGCTATGGGTCAGGTAAAACCATGGTATTCTCAGCTTGAATATGTTAAATCAGATAACCATGTGTTGTCTTTCATTGATGTTTTAAAGTGGAGCATGATACCAAATCTTTCAAAAGTTAATGGTTCTAGTGTTCTACTCCCTTCTATCTACCAGGTTGGCTCCGAAGTTTGATAGCAGACTATGGTGTCCCGCTTATGGTTCTAGTATGGACAGCTACTTCCTACATACCATCCAAAAGTGTTCCACAAGGGATACCAAGACGCCTCTTCAGCCCAAACCCATGGTCTCCTGGCGCGTATGAGAATTGGACTGTTATCAAGGTAAGTGCAAATATAGATTTCTTGTTTCATAATTCTAGTAAGATCCGGACTACAATATTATTGGATTTAAACCCTAAGTTACTAGTGCTTGGTGTAACAGGATATGCTTGATGTTCCTGTTTTATACATATTCGGAGCTATTGTCCCAGCAACAATGATTGCAGTGCTCTATTATTTTGATCACAGTGTGGCATCTCAACTTGCTCAGCAGAAAGAGTTTAATTTGAGGAAACCCCCTTCCTTCCACTACGATTTGCTCCTTTTGGGATTCATGGTAACTACTTGACAACACTTTTGGCTTCTTTTAGCTCCTCTACAGTATTTCTCTTCTAATTCAAGTATTAAGCTATGACTTCCCTCTTTCCTTGCAGACATTGTTATGTGGTCTTATTGGAATTCCTCCAGCAAATGGTGTCATCCCTCAGTCTCCTATGCATACAAAAAGTCTAGCTACCCTTAAGCACCAGCTACTTCGTAACAGAATTGTTCAAGCTGCGAAAAGAAGCATAGGGATGAATGCAAGTTTAGGGCAGCTGTATGGCAATATGCAAGAAGCTTACCAACAGATGCAGACCCCTCTCATCTATCAGCAGCCTTCAGCTCAAGTTCAAGTATAACTTCTAAGCTCTTTACCTAGTTATTTGCATTTAGTTCAAGATAACATGAAGCTTAATTGAGTGAATTTCATTCTTTGATCAGGGTCTGAAGGAATTAAAAGATTCAACTATTCAAGCAGCAGCAAGCATGGGAAATATCGATGCTCCTGTGGATGAGAGTGTGTTCGATGTTGAGAAGGAAATAGATGAGTTGTTACCTGTTGAGGTTAAAGAGCAGCGTGTCAGTAACCTGTTACAATCCATTATGGTTGGTGGATGTGTTGCAGCCATGCCTGTACTTAAAATGATCCCAACCTCGGTACTTTGGGGCTACTTTGCTTTCATGGCCATTGAAAGCTTACCAGGCAACCAGTTCTGGGAAAGGATTCTGCTGCTCTTCACAGCACCAAGCAGAAGATACAAGTAAGTTACTTTGCTTCTCAATTCCTTTTCCCTTCCAGTATAAAGACTGGTTAACTAATTCTTGTCCCTAATTATATGTCCTAAATGCAGGGTTCTTGAAGATTATCATGCAACTTTTGTGGAAACAGTTCCTTTCAAGTCTATTGCCCTTTTCACCATTTTCCAAACATTATATTTGCTCGTCTGCTTTGGAATTACATGGATCCCAATTGCAGGGGTTTTGTTTCCTCTTATGATTATGCTTTTGGTTCCTGTGAGACAATACATTCTTCCTAAGTTTTTCAAAGGAGTACACCTTCAAGATTTGGATGCCGCGGAATTTGAGGAGTCACCAGCTCTGGCATTCGATCTTACAACGGTATAATCACTCAAAACACTCCTTTTTAAAATAATCATACTCAATTATATTGTTTATAATATATAGCATTAGTTGATGTATATTCTAAATATTAGTATATAAATTCTGATGCTGATATTGATTGCTGAAACAGGAACATGAATTGGCCTCAGGGGCTACACTTGCTGGAGATGGTGAGATATTGGACGAAATGGTGACTAGAAGCCGAGGTGAGGTCAGGCATATATGCAATCCAAAGGTAACAAGCTCAACAACAACACCGTCAAGAGAGGTGAGAGGCATTCAGAGCCCTCATCTTTCATCATACAGTCCTCGATTACACATAAGTCCGCGATCTGGTAGGAACGTACCTTTTAGTCCAAGGTCTGCAGAAACTCAACCCTCAAAACTAGGAAAGAGTCCTGGACCTTCAACAGAATCAACTTCAAAGTAACAGCTTCAAGTTTTGTATTTGTAATTTATTGTTAACTTCAGCTCTTTGTATGGAAGTGTTAGGTCTGCCTGTTGCAATAGTGGTGTTTGTATTAATCAAATCAAAGTGTATAATTTTGGTGGCGCTGCTTTCATAAAGCTTGCAGCTTTTTCTCCACATGATAATTCCAGCAAATACTGGGAATATTATAGTAATTCTTGACCTGTATAATAATATCAATATGAATGTCTGATCAAAATCTAAAGACTTGATTCTATTGAGCAAAGCTTCATATTGAACTCTAAATCTTCTGAGTGTGCAGCCCCACCCCCTCAGAAAGGAAAACCTCAGTTATCAATAAGCAACTCGATTATGAAGATGCTGATTACATCAGAACGGAGTGTTGGCCTCTCTATAAATTGCCTTGTTATTTTATTCTTCTCAATTAAGAAAAAGTAAATAAGAATATATTCCAACAGAAGTTATTGAGGGATTTGGATCGGATTTGACTTTCATTGCTTGTCGTACGGGGTATGTTCCCTCATATTATGGGCATTCCATTTAAATAAGGAGAATAAACTAGAGACTAGAATCAATCCCAGTGACTTAAAACTCCATCGATACGTTACAACAACTAAGCTACATATATAACGTGTTCATAATCGTTACTAAGCCCAACTAAGTATTATATATATTTGTCCTGGAAGAAATTAAAGAAAGAATGATAGAAAGAGAAGTAACCCAGGGCATGGCCACCAACAAGCTTTATCTTTTAAACGACGTGCGCGATCTGAGTGTGAGCTAGCTACCAACGTCAATCTATCATCTATGAGCTAGTCTGAACAAAACAAAGCAATTGGTTTCTCTTTTTTTGGTATTCATTGCAGCTTATTTTGGCTATTTGCTTTCATCCACTATCCACTCTCCCTCATTCCAAATGACACTATCATATGAAATCCAAGCATGATATATTACTCATTTAACACAACTGTATCAAAATTTCCGAGTACTCCAGGCTAGTTAATGTGATGGCTGATGAGTGACAAAGTATCTGAACACTAAAAACAGTAAAGTGTGACAATTATTACTGGATGAAGGGGGAAATCCAAACTTCTTCTCAGACAATCTGAACTTGGGTCTTGAATAATGTAGAGGATGAAGGGGAAGCTAAATTATGAAAAGTTTTGATACCAAAGTTTGTATAATAGCAGATGATATGATAGTGAAGTTTTTTCATGTCAGTAATTGTCCAACCTAGGTTTAGTTTTCTATTTTCATTTTCTCAATGATAATATGATATGGGTTCAAATAGTCCAAGAGCAAAGCCACCAGAAAGATTACTGTATGGTAACTCTCAACTGAAAAATGAAGTGTCATGACACAAGGAAAGGCATTCACGTAAAGAGGTAATTCGGATACTCAATATCCAGCCTTTGATTGACGTTATTTTTCGGATACTCAATATCCAGCCTTTGATTGACGTTATTTTGCTCCTACTTACAGAAAAAGGTTGTATACATCATACTTGAGTCATTTTTTTCACCTTAAAAGGTTCTTGTTTAAGGAAAACTAAAATTGCAGATTATGATTAATTAAGTTAGATAAAATAACATTAAGTTCAGTCATGGATCAGTTCGAAACAAAAACTAATACATACATAATGCACTTCCATGTATAAGAAAGATGAGTTAAGATGGAACCTTACCATCTTTCTACACATGATCTGTCTCTGCTCTAGATTCTCCTTGAATTATGTTAAGGATAAATTGAAATACACTTCATAATTGAGTATGTTTGTATATTCTACTTTTAGCATACGGCGAGGACGATCATAGCAGGTAAGAAGGGAATCAATTATACCAAACCAAAATAATGCAGATGAGGACAAGCTTGAAAGTTGAAAGTGATAACTCTCTTAAAGGCTAAAACATCCCACAAGTTTTGTTGGATTCATTGGTGGTAGTCCATTAGTAGTCTGATTCCATCATTGAGTTTACTAATCATAATCATAAGACCATTAAAATGTGACAACAGCAAGTTAGTAATAAAGTATGCAAAATTTTCTAATGCAGAAAGTGTGTATAATGCATTTATTATGAATGATGGCCTAAATTTTGTGTCCTTTATTATCAGTATGATTGCCTCAGCCTTGTGGGGCTTCCCTTCTTTTGATTCTCTCTTTTGCAATTACTTTGATAAGTCACCTTAAACAAATTAATCTCTATTTGTTAAATCTAATCATTAGTTTACTACTTTTTTGATATTCTAGTGTCTCAGTCTGGCTGTCAGAATTATTTGGCTATCTGCTTGTGCTAGGTTCTTGTAATTTTCTTCCCTCCGCATTCAGAAGAACAAAAGAACCTTCCTATTATTAGAAAAAGGATTGTAGATTCTGTGATTATACAATTACTAGGTTGTTTGTAAGCTATGAAGCTCTCTGAAAAGATTGTTTGATGTCAATTTTTCTAACATACTTAAACCATAAGTTGCGGGGATAGCTCAGTTGGGACTTGGGAGAGCGTCAGACTGAAGATCTGAAGGTCGCGTGTTCGATCCACGCTAACCGCATTTTCTATCTACCTTTTTATTCTAATCCGTTGTTAGGTTTAATTATTGTTCTATTACTTTTTGTATGAGATTCCAATGTCTGTCTATCAGCATTATTTGGATTTTGCTGGTTTTTGGAGGTTTGCTCATTCTGTATTCAGGAATGTTGAAGGACCATTGAATTATTTTATTTTTTTTTGTGTTAAAGGCCTTTCCATATAATAAAATAGATACAGTAAGTGTTGATCCTTTGATTCTCCTTCACGAACTTGTTTGCAAGCTACGTAGCTTTCAAAATTATGTCTTTTGTCAAGTATTTAACACATTGTAACCTCAATAGCTCAGTTGGGAGAGCGTCAGACTGAAGATCTGAAGGTCGCGTGTTCGATCCACGCTCACCGCACTCTAGTTACTCTTTTTTGCTCTTCACTGAGACAATGACTACATATTGATCTTTCCGACTAATTTACCCTTCAATTGTTTTCCTATTTTAAATGCAATCTACAAATTTGAGATCTGCTTACAAAGTCAAGGTTTGATGTAGAGGAGTTATCCTAAACATCTCACTTTCAAGTTTACTGCATCCATGTGGCTGTTTACATCTAATGCATTATTTTATAATTCATACTAGACTTTCAAAGTTGTGCGTATGTAAGGAACCGATTTTAATATTTGTTTAATTTTTATCTCAGCTTATTTTGAGGATCAAGGAGAAGATAAACTATCTTTAATTGAGCCAAAATTTAAATACAATTACTAATGGTTGTATTTTCAATTTGTAATGTTTCTCTATTGCTTTTCGAGATAAAAATTATGTCCTCTTGCCAAATTGCTGTATTTTGGAAAATAAAATAAAAATTGACCAAGAAAAGAAATAAAAAGAGAGGATTAAAGATGCTAAGCCTGAGAATAAGTGACTCGCTGGAATAATGATGGAGATTCGGATGATGAGTGCAATGTGGTGTTGGATGAGCATACTGCTGCTGCTGCTGTTACTAACACTCTCAAATGGTGTAGAAGGTACTGGACGTCTGAAGAGGCCCCTTGTTGTTAATTTTGGAGACTCGAATTCAGATACTGGAGGGGTGCTAGCTGGTACTGGACTTCCCATTGGCCTGCCGAATGGTATTACATTCTTCCACAGGGGCACAGGCCGATTAGGCGATGGTCGTCTTATAATTGACTTCTTCTGTGAGTAAACTTTATACCATCGTTGGGAGTGTTATTTTTCTATGTTTGAAAAAATCTAATTCATTGTCTGGCAGGTGAGCACCTGAAGTTGAACTACCTGAGCCCATACTTGGATTCACTGTCACCAAATTTTACCAGCGGTGTTAACTTTGCTGTCTCGGGTGCAACCCTGCTGCCAAAGTTTGTTCCTTTTGCTTTGAGTGTCCAAGTTCGTCAGTTCATTCACTTCAAAAATCGATCACTTGAGCTCCTTTCACTTGGTAAATTAGTAGTATTAACTTACATAACAAGTCCATAATTCTTGAATGAAGCCTATTATATGTATATGGTCTAGAAACTGATGACTTACATTATATGCAGGATCCAGGGACTTGATCGACGAAGAAGGGTTCCGCAGAGCACTTTATACGATTGACATTGGACAAAATGATCTTCTATTGGCCCTTTATGCATCAAATATAACATATGATCCTGTTGCTCAAAAAATCCCATCCTTTCTTGAAGAAATTAGGTTGGCTGTGCAGGTAAGCTCTCAACTTGTGCATTTAGATTCTGGACTACATTCAGGTTCATTGTTAGGTGATTGCTAAAATAATTACAGACAGTACCAATATGGTGGGAGAAAATTTTGGATCCATAACACAGGGCCCTTAGGCTGTCAACCCAAAGAACTTGCCCTGCATCCCCACAAAAGCAGTGACCTTGATCGCGTGGGATGTCTTCGTGTACATAACCGAGTTGCAAAAACCTTCAATAAGGGGCTCCGCACACTGTCTGAGGATCTAAGATCGGTGTACAAGGATGCTGTCATTGTTTATGTTGATGTATATTCTGTCAAATACAGTCTCTCTGCCAACCCTGAAAAATATGGTAATAACTTTCTGAGCTCTCTTAAAGCTTATGTTTATTATTACTGGTAACAAAATAAATAAAATAAAGAAGCCCTCTTTATATATTATTATGACTATTTAGGGGTAAGGTTGTGCCCCAGCGAGATTAATTTTGAGTTATTGCTGTTGTTTAATCATTCTTGTTTATTTCTCAATTAAATTTAAGTTAAAAATGTGGTGTATTGTTCTAGGATTCAAAAACCCATTTGCAGCTTGCTGTGGTCATGGGGCTCCATACTTCTACGACAGAAACGCAACATGTGGGCAGCCAGGTTACAGCATATGCAGCAATGTATCACAGTCCATAGTTTGGGATGGAGTTCATTATACTGAAGCTGCTAATTGTGTAGTAGCTGCAAGAATACAGTCAGGAGTTTATTCTAGCCCGAAAAGTAAGCTTGAGCAATTCTGGAACTAACCCCTGATTTGCACTAATATAGGCTATTACTAGAGTGAGTACATTGAATGTTTGCTTAATCATTTCTTGAAGTGGGATTGAGCAGGAAATTTAAAGAAAAACTTTGTA